TAATTGTCTGTAATGGATGTCTCGAGAAAGGGAACGGATTATTGCATATGCCTTGGTTGGTATTCGTTAAAGCATGCTTTGCATACAGAAAGACTTTCGTATCGGCTTCTTCTTGGTGGTTCTACGCCAGATTGTAGAACCCCAGGTTGCCGACTGCCAGATTTTCGAGTTCACTTTGCCAAAACACAGTTTGCTGAATGCCAGTTTGCTGAATCAAAAACTACGAATCCCAGTTTGTGGAAACCCAGTTTGCGCTGAAACCCACTTTGTCAAAAATAAAATAAAAGCCTTAAAACATTAACCACAGCATAACATTCATGTTGGAGCACTCTCTTACTATGTATTCCTATAAGATATAGCGGCTTATTGTAGTTAAATGATTCTTTTTGTTTTAATCTGTAAATCAATTAGCTATCAGCAAATAAAATTCAATTTAATAGGCCTCGCAGTTAAAACGTTTCATTAGCATACCTATGATAAATACATAAATTTATTTTAAAAAATAATAATAAATGAAATAAACAAATTAATAATAATCTACAATTATACACACATGCGATACGATGCTTATCCTTAATTTCATTTCATTTTATTTCTAATTTTAACTGATAGCCATGCTTTCAAGTGTGTTTTTCTACAGCTTTGTTGTCTTCCAATATTTTTCCTTTTAATTTGTACACAAATGAAGCTCCTTCCTTTTAAATTCACAGTATGCTGTACTTTTGTAACACAGAGATTTAGACTGGGTTTCGGAAAACAGAGTTTTGGGAAACTAGGATTTCCTGATTTCAGTGAAATGGTTTGGGCATTCTGGGTTTCGGCATACTGAGTTTCTGCAAACTGGGATTTCGACAACCAGGTTGGATACCTTCTTGAATACTATTGCTATCGGCACGAATGCATCCTTGTCACTGAAAGAGATTTTGTGTTAGTTCGTAGCAGCCAAGAAAAGCAGACTCGAAAGTCGTCCTGCATGCAATGCATGCTTTAAGGAATTACAACCAATACATAAATATCTACCGTTCCATTCTGGAGACATCGATATTGCAGTCGTTGCTACTGTATATCTTATTTTACGACAACAGAGAGAGAGTCATTCTAGACACTAACACTGAAATACCGAAAGTTGTTTAAATTAAGTGACATTAACTTTCACCAGCGAAGAAATTGTCCCATATTGGATCTCGTGCTTCTGTAGTCAAAGGCAAAGTTTCGTTGACACTTTCTGCAACTTTAAAGTTTTAGATGTTCTGTCACAAAAGATGTCTGAAGAACTTGAAGACTGCGGCATG